TGAGTAAGACCAATTCATTTACATTTGGGGTGGTAGTTAAATAAGCCTCTAGCAGCTGATAAATTGAGAAGTCTTGAGAGCACGTTCATTGAGAGGACAAACAAAAGGGGGGAGAGAGGGTCACCTTGTCGAATACCTTTTTCTCCCTTAAAAAACCCTATTAAGCTCCTATTGAAGGATATAGAATATCTAGCAGTAGAAAAACATATTTCAATCCAGTTGATGAAAGTACAAGGAAGACCAATAGCTTTTAGAACACTAGAGATGAAAGCCCAATTAAGAGTATCAAAAGCTTTGTGAAGATCAATTTTTAAAGAGCATATTGGAGAGATATTCTTCCTGTTGTACCCTCTAACAAGTTCTTGGGCAAGAAGAGTGTTATCTAAAATACTTCTTCCTTTAACAAAAGCTGTTTGGTTAAGAGAGACTAGATCAGGTATGAGCTTTTACAGTCTACTAACCAGGATTTTGGAGATAACTTTATAGAAGACAGAGCAACAGGAAATAGGTCTGAAATCTTTGACTTTGCTTAGATTAGGGGTCTTGGGAACCAAATCTATGGTTGTAGTATTGAAAGCTGGAAGAAAGAATGAATCAGTGAAGAATAATTTAACAGCAGCAATAACATCATCTTCTATGATATGCCAAGCTTTTTTGAAGAAATAGGGAGAATAGCCATTTGGCCCAGGAGATTTGTCATTTCCTTGGCAGAAAAAAACAGCTTTTATTTCTTCATTAGTGACATCTTTTACAAGATCTTGTGCATTTGATTCAGTCACAGTATATTGTAGAATATCTTTTAGCAAGGAAGAATCAATAGCTTTTACATCATGGTCAAAGGAGCCAATCAAATTGTAAAATACTTAATCACCTCAGTTGACATTGAATCGAAAGTTTCCAACCTATTTCCTTGGTCATCAACCAGGATCTGAATAGTATCTTTTTGTTCTTTAAAGCAAGAGCAGAGTGAAAAGCTTAGAACATTTATCACCATCTTTAAGCCATTGGAGCTTTGATTTTTTTCTTAAGAAACGAAATTTCAGCAGTTTCGAGGCTTTGTAATTCAGTCTGAAGAAGGATTTATTTATCAATAGAGTCTTCACCCCTAAGAGTTGAGTTGTTGAAGTTCTAATTCTGATTTCTTTTGGATGACTCTAGCTGAAATATCACTAAAATTGGACTGGTTGAGTTCTCTAAGTTTTATTTTCAGCCTTTTTAACTTAGAAAAGAGGAGTTGCATTCGATTTCCTTGGCCAGGAACAATCCAAGATTGATGAACAGTATTCATAAAGTTAGGGCGATGAGCCCAAAAATTGAAGAACTTGAATGGTTTGGGTTTACTAGCATGAACTTCTTTAAAAGGCCAAACCAAAGATAAGCAGTGATCAGAGACTCCAGGAGCAAGAAATTCAACGTGTGAATTCTTAAAGCTGCTCATCCAGATTTGGTTAACTAAGACTCTGTCTAACTTCCTTGCAAGAAAGAATGTTGTTGTTTGTTGCTCCAAGTGAAGGAATGACCAAAAAAAGGGTGATCAATGAGGTCGATGTCAAGTGATCAAGACTCCCAGGAGCAAGAAATTCAACGTGTGAATTCTTAAAGCTGCTCATCCAGATTTGGTTAACTAAGACTCTGTCTAACTTCCTTGCAAGAAAAGAATGTTGTTGTTTGTTGCTCCAAGTGAAGGAATGACCAAAAATGAGTGATCAATGAGGTCGATGTCATAAATAATAGTTTGGAAGTCTCTCATATCAGCAGAAACAATAGGGCCAAGAAGAGTGAAATTTGAGCTCTCATTAGGATAGAGAGTGACATTGAAATCACCTCAAAAGATCCAGGGGATATGATAAAAGTGAGAATTCAAATCATGAAATTCTTGCCAAAGGAGTCTTCTCTCAACACCATCATTACTCGCATAAACGACAGAGATAATAAGAGGATTCCAAGATGAATCCCCTTAATAGAGATACACTGAGCAGAAGAATGGATGACAGAAAAGTTCAGACCAGTTTTCCAAAGAAGCCAGATTCGACCATTTACAGCAGAATTATAATTAGTAGCAACAACCCAATTATTGAATTTGGATTGCAGAATTTTCTCAACCTTATCAACTTTTACTCTAGTTTCCAGCAAACAGAGAACTTCAACATTATTACTAATAACTATTTTAAGGAATTGAGCTTTCTTTATAAGACTATTAAGTCCTCTAACATTCCAGAAGGCAATAATCATTGAAGTTGATTGTCAATGGAAACAACTTTGCCATTAACCACGCTAGACTTAGCCACTGCTAGTTTATCTTTTTTCTTGGATTTAAGATCATTAACTAGAGTTGCTACACCTAAAGAAGATTTCCTGGGTTTACGTTTAAGGCCTATAGAAGAAGATGTTGAATCATCAACCACACTAAGGACTTCAAATCTGTTAGATGAGGCAGCTAAGGAAGCAACGGGTTTGACCTTAGATGGCCTACCCCTTTCTTTTTTGGTAGCAGCCAAGGAACTTTCTTCTTTATCAATAATGAAAGGAACATTAAGATCAGAACAATGAGGCAACTTCGCTGCAAGAGCATTAGGGACTGTTTCATATTCTTTACTGGTTGTTTCAGAAACATCAGTCTTAGAGATTTGATCTACAAGTTCCTGTTGGGGTTTTTCTTGTAAGAGTTCAATACCACCAGAAGAAGGCTCGCCCTCACCAGCTTTTAAGGGAACTTCCTTTTTCCTCCAAGTCTGAGTCAATACAAGAGCTGGATTTTTTTTATGTTTGCAAGTTTTATCAGAATGCCCAAAGATCTTACAAAACCTACATCGGGGTGGTAACCAAGGAATTTCGACTACAACAGAAACTGTTTTACCGTCATTAAGAGCCACTTCAATATATTTAGGGATGTTTTCAGTCGCCCCTAATTCTATGCACACTTTAGCATATTCAAGATGAGTCTTGGCAGTTGTTACCGAGTCCATGGAGATGGGGATTCCGATGGCACTCGCGATGTAACTAAGTCCAACATTGGAAAAAAGTTCGAGGGGGACATTAAAGAGATTAACCCAAATGGGTATCCTAGAGAGATCAAAGTTCAATCCACATAAAATCTGGTTACGTCCATCGTCCACTGGAGAACGTTAGCTGGCCTAACGGAATCTGAGGATCTTCGTCGCGTCTTCCTCTCCGTTCTTCTCTCCGCTCGGTTCTTTTCTCTTTTCCCTCTTCTTTCAAGTGCAAAGGCCCTATGAATTTGAGAAACCTCTTTGGATGTACAGAGGGACAAGGATTGGAATACTTCCCTCTTAGGGTTCAAGACGGTGCAACCGTGGTTCATCCGTCTCCGGAGGTACTGGAATCTGGAATCTCTAAATGAAAACTCTCGCTTGTGGGCCAATTTCTAGGTGCTGCTCCCAGATTTGCAGCTTTGTAGCGAATCGTGGAAAACCTATAGAAAAAAGCTGGGTCTAGCGTAAAGGTATGCTATGCTGGAAACAATCTTTACGTTTTCTCATTTTTTTCAGAATCTGATAGGGATTGGGTACTAGATTTAATGAATATTTTATTGGAGTCACTTAATTTAAATTATATTTTCATTTCGATCATTATTATTAATGTTACATCAATTATTGTTAACGGTGGATGAAAAGAACGTATTTCTTAAGCTTAATGATTTTAATAAAACTTTTTAGATTTTAATGACCAAAGTATAAAAGTCAAAACTTCAGTGATTAGTAGTGTTATTTACCCCTGAATTGGTTATGAATTGATAACACTGTAAAAGGAGTACGGCAAATTTAATATATCTTTCTAGTGATAAATATTGAGGATATTTCTTACCATATGCTCATGATTTTGATATTTTCATTTAAAAATATTATATTCAATTTTTTAATAGTTTAAGATAGTTATAATATAATATTTATTTTAAAAAAATTAATTTATTAATAATGTATATAATGTAATTGTTCAAATGTAAAATATCTAAAGAGAATAATATTTTTTACGAGATAAAAGCTACCAATTTTATTAAAAAATATATTCAAATTATAATAAAAGTTTACTATCTCAATAGTAAACTTTACATAAAAATTACATTTATTTATAAAAATTACATCCAAATTTGTCACATATATAAAAATACACGTCACATCCCATACAACCCTAAAATAATTTATCTAAAACAATCCTAATATAAAGTTAACTACATATAATTAATAAAATATTAAAAATTATAATAATCTAAAAATCTCATATTAGACATATGTAATTTTATGATTGCATTGTCTTCACTAAAACGAGAATATCTTAAGTTATCGATATTCAATTAAAACATTTTAGGATACATTAGAAAGATAATTAACAATCAATCTTTTTATAAGAAAATATGAGATTTAAATCTTTTTAGTCCAAAATGATTAATTTTACCTCTCATATTCAACGACAGGATTGTCCACTCGAATAGCTGTCTGTATACGCATAAAGACCCGAATTGACGCAATACAATAACGATAATTGATAACAAAAGGATTAAATTGATGCAATTCATAAATTCGAAGATTAAATTGATGGTTTTTTTTTTAAAATAAATTAATTATTTTGACTGCTGTAGTTGGTTTGGACTTTGGAAGGAAGTGACATGGATCCGGTAAAAACTTCTTGGTTGAGGGGTTTGGTTGTTGGGTCAACTGAACCCTGAATTTAACCCTTTCCAAAAGTAAAAAAAAAAGTTACTTTGTTTGTGAAGAGGACTGATCACTGATGTTTGATAGTCATAGAGTGTTTGTCTCACGCTCTAAAATTTTGTTCAAACATAATACTAGACGAAGCCTTACACACGTGCGAATGATGTTGGATTTGTTGAAAAGGAGGAAACTGGATCAGTCAGGGTGAAGCACTCTTTTTTAGTCCCCTTTCTTAACCAGCTGTGTGCATACACGCACCCCTTGTACCTATTTTTGCTATTTCCATTGCCTTAACTTCACTTCTTTCACTGTTTCTCAAACTTGCTTCTCTTGTATACTTTTTTTGTTTAATATTATGTGCGCACGAAGATAACGCAACGTTGTAGCGCGACAGAATTTGTCAGGTGAGGAAATGGAGGCATGGAAGAGTGTTTTATATGCACCAGACAATATGAATAGTCTCCGCTGTCAATCTTCAACTTCTTCTTCTTCACCTGGTTCCTCTATGCGGATGGTTTACCCAGACATGAGTTGTCTTTCTATTGCTCCAAACTACGGCACTGTTTTTTACTCACAGGAAAGCCACAGCTCTGATGTTGTGGAGGGTAAGGGCTTTGACTGCAGTGATGGGTTTGGAGATGATACTAATGCCACCATTAACCTCAATGCCGGCAAGGAATCAGACAGTGGGCAGTCAAAGCTTTGTGCCAGAGGTCACTGGAGGCCTGCAGAAGATACTAAGCTCAAGGAACTTGTTGCTCTTTGTGGTCCTCAGAACTGGAACCTTATAGCTGAGAAGTTGGAAGGAAGATCAGGTAAAATAGTGGCAAAAAAAGTGTTATTGTATTCTTTGTTTTAAGCTAAGGCTCATTTGTTCTGAATCTTGTGTCTTGGGTTTGAAGGTAAGAGCTGCAGGCTGAGATGGTTTAATCAGTTGGACCCTAGGATCAACAGAAGAGCTTTTAGTGAAGAAGAAGAGGAGAGGCTAATGCAAGCTCATAGACTTTACGGTAACAAATGGGCAATGATAGCTAGGCTGTTCCCTGGAAGAACTGATAATGCAGTGAAGAACCATTGGCATGTGATAATGGCCAGGAAGTATAGAGAACAATCGAGTGCCTACAGGAGGCGGAGGCTGAGTCAATCTGTTTATAGGAAGATTGAACAAACTCTAGGCTTTGTCTGCAGAGATGCAGCAACAAAAGCAGAACCACCCCAACACTGTCTCAATATGCCCAATAGAGGACCAGACATTATCTCCCAGTATCAGTTTGGAACCTTCAAAGGTGCTGTTGGTGCATGTGGGGTTGATGGTGACTCAAATGTTTCACCCCACATGACCAGTGGGAGAGAAGCAATCTTAAGCATGAAGGTCCCTCATCATAATGGGTTTTGTTCACAACACAAACCTTTTGATTTCTTCCCTGGTGTGTGTAACTCTTTAGTCCCCCTCGTAAGCTTCTCTTTTAAATGTTCTTATCATTTTTAATTTACTAGTTTCTCTACTTCTTTTAGATGTTAAGAGCAATGGCATGTTGAGCCAGACCAGATTTTGGGAAAGGCCCATTGATGAGCCCCAAATATACAGGAATTCAATGCAACAGTCCCAAAGCATCACAGATTCCAGAGCATCAATAACACCTCAAGTTTCAGCCACTGAACCTTCATCATCAGTGGCAGCGAGCAGCAACCACTGCCCCTATGAGACCGTTCCACCACCTTTCATTGACTTTCTTGGAGTAGGAGCCATATGAAGTCACGAGTAAAACCAAATGGAGGGAAAAAAAGGAGAGAAGAAAGGGCCTGTAAAGGGTCTTCCACCTTTATGTGGAAGAGCTCCAAGAAAATTGAGAGCCCATTAGAGGTAAAAATGATTTGTTTTTCAGATGGTGACAGTAGATATAGTCTCTGTATCAGTCTGCCACAAGTCATAGCCTGGAACTCTTTTCCCACAAGTTCAAAACAAATTTTTTAGAGTATAATATTATTATCATAAATAAAGCGTTTTATCTTTTTTCCTTCTTTCATTTCATTAACGACTATAAATGCTTCCAATGGTTTCTGAACCAGATAAGCCATGACCAGAGATCAGTTGAGGCCCAAAGTGAGTGTTGAAATAGACACTCCAGACCAGATTTTTGTATTACACTAGTTACTATACATCTACGATAACATAACTTAAATGGAATAATGGAAACGAAAAGCTATGGGAAATCAGACAGAGATGAAACCACAGATAAGAACACAATAAGCAAACTTCATGTTTCCATTTACAAGCATGAAACTTCAAAAAAACGACGCCTTTTCTCTCATGGAACTGCATAAATTCATGAACAAATTATGCAGACATTATTTCTCGAATCCATTGCCTTCATGTCAGGAACTGTTGAATATCCTTGATTCCAATCACCTGTAGAATCTTTCTCAGGAATCAGGATTCATGCCAACTACACGGGAACATATCTATCATAAAGCTCTTTAGGAACTGTCTTTAATTTAATAATCTAAATTGTTGGCCTTGGACTTGTATTGAATAAACTTTATATCACACGACTAAAAAATATTTCATTTTAATTACTGATAGTGGTAGGCCAGGGTGTAAATTAGAGGTATTTATGAATTAGGTCAGGTTGTTCCATATGAATTTACCATGATGATGCTTCCCATGTCGCAAATCTCTTGTGGTTTCCCCTTTCATAGTTGCTTATCAAGCTTAATGTTAAGTGATGTGTATACACTTGACGTTCGATGTACCATTGCATCAGAAATGACTTGTTTCAATTATTTGAAGGAATATTTCTGCATGATTTTACTTTGTCTCTAACAATCATGTTGTCTTTGGTGAAGAAAGCAATCATGTCTACCACTTATTAGCCATCTTCTGCATTTCAAGCCTGATAAAAACTCTGTATGTTTTGCTGCAAAATGAACCTAGAATTTGATTTATTAATCATATATTTACCTAGAAAGCTTTTCCTTATCAATTTGGAAATTGTTTATAAGGCTGTATAAGGCAGACTTTTTACTTTTTGTTTCCCATAACTGAAATTTTGTTCGTCTTTTGCAGGTATTTGTTGCTTTTGCTTTCTTCTTATTGAAATCTTATCCTTCCTTTATAACTTAATGCACATTCTTAGAGAAACAAGTACATGGGCTTGAACCTCTGGAACACTGTATTACAACACAATTCTGTCAAGTGGAAGTAGAAAATAGAATAGTAAGAACCCTTAATAAAGCAAGAAAGTATTTAAGCACCAACAGGGCTTGAATACTTGTGGAAATGAGATAGCAACATGAATTACCATTAAACTCAACCAAAACAAGAATCCAGCTTAAAGGGTACAACAGTGTCCTTATCAGCAATATTTAACAGCCGGTGCTTCTCTTCGTACCTCCTTTTTATCCCTGTACTTTACTGATTGATATGTAAACATTCAACTGTCTCTCATTTGAACATGTGATGTTTCGTGCTGGTTACTTTCTTATCTGCAAGACAATCATCACCCTAATGATCTGGAGAAACAAATTTGATTTTTGACATATTGCTAATGTCATTTCCATTTGGATGACTATGCTTGACAAAATATTTCAGCTAAACTCTCCATTTTCTTTTAGTCGGATGTGACTAGTTCCTTTTGTTTCTCTTTTCTAGATTCCTGAGGCCATATTCTTTTCATAATCTCATCTTCTTCCTTGCTTTTGGATTTATGAAATCTCTTCTAATGGGTCCCTTAAAGAATAATAATTGATGAGGCACATTTGTTTGTACGACTTTTTGATTCACTGGACCTTCTGCAACTGAAGTAAAAATACAAGGGGGCCGGGTTGGCATCATCCCAGAATCTCCTTTACAAGTTATGGAATATATTAAAGCAAGAAACGAGTTTCAAGTACCTCATCTGATTAAAGTGAAAGGTGCTCCAATGACTCTCCTTTTCTTGTTTTTCAAACATTCGGGCCACCTATGATGAAAACTTGTAGAGAATTTTATTCCTTTCTTCGAATATGAACTATGAGCTCGCCACTGATGAATTATAGCTCTAGGAGGGAAGATGTAGATGCTTACTCAGGATGAAGATGGACCTACCACTTGCCGGTCCACCATGTCGAACAGAATGATGATCGTAGCGATCTCATCAGTGGACCATCCACTCTATGCTCACTGAATTGTATCCTACTAAGTGGTTATAAAATTTTAATTAGTCAACTGACTGGAGGATCTTTCATTGGTAAGGGCATGTATTTAAGCAATCTTGGAGAAACCTTGGACATATCTTCTACTTCTTTAATTAATTGAAACAGCCTTTTTGCTTTTTCTGGTCGCCTTAATAAAATAACACTTGTCATCTAATCTATCTTTGAATTCTGGAAAATGTCTTATCAATGTAGCAGACCAGCTGAATGTATAGCACTGAGATTGAAACTACTCTGAGCCTGGCCAGCACCTGATGTAATATATGGAGTTTTTTTACTTCTGGTGCTGCTTGGAAGATATTTGATAAGGTAAAACTCAAGTTGCAAATTCCAAATGGAGTAGCATATATTTCAAGCTGTCGGCCCTAATGACAGTCTGTATGAAAGAAAACAAAAGACCTGAGATTCTCCTATAATGGGATAAACTCACAGAATTCTGTGTCCTTTTGGTTCAATTTCCAGGGACGAGTTTATCCTATGGGGTTATTTTCACACCCCCTGCTTATGTTGTGTTATCTATTAAGATGGCCTGAATTGTTTCACTTTTTCAAGGGCATAAGAAAAATGGGGCCAGTTGGGTCCCAAAATGTATTATAAGATTCTTTGATTCCTTCATCCATATAAAGAACAAAAAGAATCTGCCAGTCACACCACTGACCACACCCCTCCTAAGAGAAAAAGGAAAATAAAAAAAAGCGAAAAAAGACATTGCCCATTTGGTTTACCCTTTCTGTCATCTAAAGGATAATTGAGCTTTCCTGTCAATTTAGCTTCTCATAGTGTTAGGAAAGTCATCTTACCTATTTCATGGATGTGGTGATCCATTGGATTCGGGTCGTATTCGGGTTTGTTTGATTACCTCAATTATCTCAGCAAGGGAATCAAGCAGGGAGGGAGAAAATAATGTGTTTGTGTGAAGATAGAAACAAACCATGCACTTTTCCTCGTTTCTCTCCTTTTGAGACTCAAATTTATCTGTGTTGCTTTCTTTGCTGTTTTTGTTGCATCACAGATTCTCTCTATCCACCCTCTTCCAAGTCAAAGAAGAAAACTTAAAAGAAAAGTTGATATGAAATGGGAGATGATAGAAGGAAGAGGTCATGGAATATATTCCCTTCCCTATACATCCCCACCTATGTTTCCAGATATGGAGTGAGATCATAGGACAGCCCAACAATTCACAAGATTTATAAAGAGAATACTGCTGCTTCATATTGAAAGCATAGCCTTCTTACAAAAAGAGGGAAAAAAGGGATCAAAATTCACATGAGTTCAGTTTTCTGCATCCCTCTGCCTGTCTCTCTTACACAACACAAAACATGGAGGGTCTGCAAAATATTCAAAATCAAGACATGAATTTGGTTCTGTCAACTGATGCAAAGCCTAGGCTGAAGTGGACTCCTGAACTCCATCAAAGATTTGTTGAAGCTGTCAATCAACTTGGAGGGGCAGACAGTTAAGTTCAATACTCTCAGATAACCTTAATCATCATCATCTCGTCTAATCATACTGATATGTCTAGGGGTAAAATTTTCATATGTTCATTATTTATGGACAGAAGCAACCCCAAAGAATCTGATGAGGGTCATAGGAATTTCTAGACTCACTTTGAACCATCTCAAAAGCCATTTACAGGTAATTTCTCTTCATTCTACAACCATACCATCATCTCAAACAAATCAAGGTTTGACTGTATTTTCTACATGCAGAAATACAGGCTGGCAAAAAGCCAACAGACAGAAATCTGCCTTAGCAATAAACTAGATGGTGAGGTTAAAATTTCTTTGCTTGCTGCATTTAGGTTATTATATTGACTTTCACAACAATATGATTTTTTTTCTTCTTCTTTTCATTGTGATATAGATTGCACTGAGATACAGAGCAGTAATGGGGATTTGAGTAGTGACACAAGTGATGGAACTCACAAGCAGATGGATGAGTAATATTTTTTTTACTTGGATCCTTTATATTTTGATAAATTTTGGATTTGGAAATGATAATAAGACAGGTTCTATTGCCTGTCTAATTATATTGTTCATCAGAAGCTTGCGGATTGCTCAGGCTCTCCAAATGCAGATGGAAGTACAGAGAAAACTTCATGAACAGATTGAGGTCCAGAGACATTTACAGCTAAGAATTGAAGCCCAAGGAAAGTACTTACAATCAGTATTAAAGAAAGCACAAGAAACACTGGCCGGGTATACCTCATCTTCTATTGGTGTAGAACTTGCCGAAGTCGTACTCTCTCAACTAGTCTCAATGGTTAACACTGGCTGCACAAGTTCTTCGTTTTCGGAATTGACAGAAGTAGGAGGTTCAAGCTTAAAACAGACGGAAAGAAAGCCAATGAGAGGTACAATATGTTCCATGGAGAGCTCATTGACATCTTCCGAAAGCTCGGGAAAAAAGGACAATGAGGAGCCACCAAAAAAGGAGAATATCTGTACCCAGAAATCTAGTACTTTTGTTGAACTTAACTTAATGGACCTTCACCCCAAAAAGAAGCGTTCGATTAGTGGCTCGAGCAATCAAGTAAACGGAAAGAAAAGAAATGGCTCTGATGACAA